TGTTAACTTTATTATACAGGTATCCGCCAAGATAGCAAAAAATCTCCTAGAAAAGTAGGTACAATGGTCATAATGAGAGGTACATACCCGGTCTTTGCGTCTCGTGTGCTGTGAATCATTTTGATCATATTTTAATTGAGCATGTTTTTTTAGTACCGTGTATATAATAAACAATTGCCGGACTGTAAGAACTTTGGAGATTTTATAAAGTTGACTGGTTGTAAATTTAAAGGGAAGAGAGTTACTTACCTTTAAGATTAACCTTTGCGATCTTTCAAGTGGGAGAAGTGATGATTTGGTAGCTCCACCCCAGCACGTAATACAATATATTATTAAAGATTGGCATAGAGCAAAATAGACATATTTAATAGTATTAGAATCTGCTACGCAACGGAGTTTTTTAAATATATATGTTAATTTCCGTACCCTATTTGAAAGTGTATGTATATGCTCATGAAAAGTTAGCTTATCGTCCAACAAAATACCAAGCTATTTAATTGAATTTACTTTTTGCAGAGGTGTGCAGGAACATGTTAGGCCATTAGGAAAATTGCAAGAATGAGCAGTAATAACATGGTCTGTGCAGGTTGCATATACATTATTATGTTTAGAGAAGGACAAGTATTTTGTTTTTTCCACGTTGAGCGTTAACACATTATCGCGAAGCCATTTGGACACTCTATTTAAGCCAATGTGAGCGAAGTTAAACACATCTGGCCATGAATCACCAGTAAATAGTAGGGCTGTATCATCTGCAAAAGTTACTATTTTTCCGTTCACTAGTTTGAGTTTGCAGAGATCATTAATGTAAAGAAGAAACAGGGTAGGGCCAAGAATACTTCCCTGGGGAACACCATAGCAGATGGGGAGCTCATCACTAACGTGTTTATCAATTTTTACGGACTGTGTTCTATCTGTAAGGTAATCTTTGAAAAGCTGCAACGGTACACCCCTTATATCAAGCTTCTCCATTTTATGCAACAATATGGGGACAGAGACCATGTCAAAGGCTTTGACAAAATCTAAAAAAATTCCTATTGTTTTCTTTTTTTTCTCAAGGTTTAGTACAATAAATTCAATTAGTTCACGAACGGCATCAGCTGTTGATTTACAAGAACGAAAACCAAATTGATTTGGAGAAAGTATGGGGTTCTTTTCAAGAAAAATTTTCAACCTATTACTCATCAGGCGTTCTAGTATTTTAGATAATGATGGTAATATAGATATTGGTCTATAGTTGCTTACACAGTCTCTGTCTCCATTTTTGTAAACAGGATGAATGAGGGATTTTTTAAAAGCTATTGGGAATATACCATAAGTGAGGGCCAGGTTACATACGTGGGTAAGAGGAGGTACAATAAATGTTTTATTTTGTTTTAGGAAATCACCAGATATTTTATCCCAGCCAATTGCACCGTCACTTCTAAGTATATTTATTACAGATGCAATTTCAGCTTCATCACTAGGCAAAAGAACCACGGAATGGACTAAGCTATTATTAGTAGGAGAAAGATTCAATTCAGAGTTCTCAAGAATTATTTCGGCCAGTTGTCTACCAATATTAGCGAAATACGTATTAACATTATTAACTGATTCCTTTGGTGTGGTACATACTGATAATAGTTGAGTGGAAGATGCTTTTGCGGCATTTCTGTTGGTTATTCTATTTATTACCTCCCAAAGTTTTCTATTATTTGCACATGCATTTCTTATTTCATTTTTTTCATATTCATTCTTGACCTTTTTCAGAAGTTTGTTGCAATAATTTCTGTATCTCGTAAACGTTAACTTAAGTACTTCATTACCCGGCTCTTTTTTCATTTTTTGTGTAAATTATCACTATGCTTCATACAACGTAAGAGTCCTGGAATAATCCATGGCTTTATAATCTTTTTACGACTAGGTAAATCAATCTTCTTAGTATTAGCGTCTAAAACTTTTTGTAAGGACTGGACAAGACAATTAGCGGCAATATTTGGATTTTGTGTAGAGTAAACTGAGCGATAAGCGCCAGCCAACCAACACACTCCCCCCGAAGGGGACGTTAAGTTGGCAACTGGACCGTAGTCTACAGCAAAATAACTGGTGTACCAGTAAAAGAGGGCTTGGCCCCTTAGTGCGTTAGTACAAACATTGATCATTGTAGCGCATTTCAATGCGTGTAAACGCCATACAAAATACGACCAAATCCAGCCACAGTTAATGTACGTCACACGGTTTAGGCAACACGTCGAATAATAGGCATAATGGCCATAAAAATCCTCCGTGAGCGCCACCACCTGCCAGTTGCATGATCAGCATGGCTACTAACTACACAGCGTGTCATGAGTCTACCGCTTACCACCAAGGAATGGGGTCCCACGTTGCGCGGCTTTTGGCCGTAACCTTGAGAGCTTCCTCAGATTCTCCCTCTAGTTACCACTCGCTTGAGGTCGACACATATTCTCCAACAACTAATGCAACGACAAATATAGCTAAAAGGCTGTTACAAGATAATAGTAATAATTCGCCATCAGAAAGGATTTGTGTCACTGACGTTGAGTAGATGCATTTTTCGATCATGCTTGTCTCACCCACCAACAAATTGCCTTCAATCATTCAAAAGTGGGAAATTTGCAGAGATATATTATTATGTTGTCATATAAAATACCATGGAGATCAGAAAGTCTCAGCCCTGTAATGAAGGGACCCGACTTGGGCAAAGCTACTTAGGTGTGAGTCAAACCAAAAAGATGTATTTGAATTTTATGCTTATTAGCGCATTTCAATTGTTCAAAATATTTATATCTATGATATTTTAAATGTCCTCATTGTAAGTTTAATTAATATTATTATTAATAATAATAACGCATCGTCACAATAGGCCTTTTTAAAAGAACGCCTCACAGCACGGTGTTGATCCACCTGTATCCACCGACTTCTATTGTTTCAGTGATGTTAACATGAATTATAAAAATTGTAGAGCATAAAATTTGCGACAAATTGAAATTGAAACATTCATTCATGTGCTAAACCGTTACAACAATTTATTAATATTTTATTAATTCTTCTTAATAATTGCAAATTATATGCTCTAAAATTTTTATTACGGACTAGCTGTGCCCGCGGCGTAGCTCGCGTTTTACTATAAGCATTTGGTGTTTAGGGTAAGAGAATATTAAACGATTTAAATCATTACTGTATGAATTATCAATAATATGATATGCTCAAACTTCTAAGTCGTTTATGATAGAGCTTCTGTGTAAACGACGTTAGAAGTAGACTTAGCCGGGCATACAGAAAAAGGTTACGGGGACTACTAACGCGGGAAAAAGCAACATATAGTTGGCCATGTGCATTACAATCAGTACTGAGGTCCACTGCTGCAACGCGTAAAGTTTGACCTTGCGCTTTATTTACGATCGTCGCATAACACACGCTGAGTGGAAAACACGCTTAACATAGGAATATTCGATGATCATCGATTTTAAAAATTAAAAATTCGATGTTTTAACATCGATGTTGACACATTTCGAACATCGAAACATCGACGTCAATGAACCCATAATCGATAATTGGGAACATGCAAACAATGCGAACCCGCGAAATTAATATCAACTAAATCTTGCATCTGCTCTAAATATTAAAAATTTTGAATAATTCAGAATTCCTGAACGCATCGTTAACATAAAAAATGTCATTATGGTGTGTCAAACTTAATTGTCAAGTGTCATCTGTAATGTCACAATGGTCACTGCTTTCGCTTTATTTTGTAGAGTCGTTGTCGGTTGTCGCATAATAACTATTCTACGTAAATTGATATTCAAGTTAATTGTTACTTTTCCCTTGCTGTGTATACCCACATAATTTTGAAACAATGTGTAAGTATCTATACATATAAAAAAAAAACATCGATAATGGTCAACATCGATGTTTTGAGTAGGCTAAACATCGAACATCGATGTTGAGCTATCGATGCCAACATCGATGTCATCATCGATGTCGTCATCGATGTTTCTGCAACATCGATCACTCCTATATTAAAACTGAAAGGTAAGTTATTTGGTATTAGAGGGATTCTGGGTATAAAACAATATTACGACATTTTATTGCAATTTTGCTACTTTTAGTCAAGCTCGAGTTTTGTTGCATAACTTTGGCGTACGTATCTGTTTTCTGGTTTTTGTTTCTAATGATGTTTATGATGTTTTTAACCTACACGGCTCTTGCAGCTTTATCGGGCTCATGGACATAAATTTCTTCAGTGAGTCTCAATACGATTCACCGGCGAAAAATCTTAACACCGCAATTCAGAAAAGGTTATAATTTGTACAACGCCATCTATTACGTTCTTTGTGAAAAAACATTTTATTTTAATTTAAAGAAAACATTTTTTTTTACTGTGTTTTAAGTATAAATATATTATAATAGAACGTTTTTTTTTACACACGAATCTTTTTATTAGTATTTCTGAGATTTTATGGCGCCGTTAAACAAATTAGAACTTACATTTCAAAATAATAATCATATCTTTCGATAGAATTAACCAATTTTAATTAAACAAAGATTAAATGAATTCGTTAATACGCTTTATGATTTTCTTGAGGATTTCATTGAAAAAAGATGTTTGCTCAAAACGTCATGCGTCCATAAACAAACAGACAAACCGTCAGACAGTACAATTCTAAAAATTATAAAAATGTACTTATTTAATGATTTTCAGTCCCCATAATGATTTTAGTCACAAATTCGGGTTAAAGACATTTATTTCTCTTAAAGAACACATTGTTCACTTTTACAGAGATTAAGTATACATACAAAATAATATTACCAGTATTTACACGGTAGCATGCATTATATAATTCTATTATGTTTTATTCTTGTATGTATATCCTTAATTAATTTGTTATTCTTTTTCTTACTTAATGCAAACATATGTATGTATTATATCGTAATGTTTTAAAAAATATGAATATTGTATTAATGCAATTACAGATATGATCAAAATTGAAGATATGCAGTTATGAAATTTTATCTACAATATATGATTTTAGTTTATTCTTAAAATGCTTAATATTATTACAATCTTTTATAGTATCCGGTAGATTATTATACAAAAGTACACCCTCACACATAATATTTTTATTGCCATAAGATCTCGTCCGAGGCTGCCAGATTTGAAGTTTGTTTTTGTTTCTAAGATTATGTGTAAGAAATTCACACTTTGGTGTGAATGTAATTGTTGAATGTATGTTTTTAGATATTATTTTTTTTATAATAAGGCATGTGTTATATGTATATAATTGTTTAATGTTTAAGAATTTAGTTTTTCTGTATAGCTCCTTAGTCGGGGTTAGGTAGTTGTAATGAAATAGTGTTTTTATTAGTTTACTTTGTGCTCGTTGTAACTTACTTATGTGCGTTTGTGCAGCAGAACCCCATATCTCTATAAGGTACTCCAGGTGTGGCTTGGCTAGGGCGTTATAAACAGTAGATTTGATTTTGTATGGAATACAGTTTGATACCTTTCGCAATGCTCCCGTAAGTGATGCTAATTTTGATGCTATTTTGTCTATATGAGAGTCCCATATCAGTTTGTCATCTAATAATAGACCTAGGTACTTTTCTTTTTTAGATCTTTTAAGAGTAATATTATTAATCTTAAGTGGTGTGTAGGTAGGTATTTTTTTATTTTTAGCACAGAAAACCATAAATGATGTTTTGGTCACATTAATTGTGAGAAGATTGTATGAAAACCACTCATTTAATATATCTAAGTCCTTTTGTGCTTGTGATATAATTTCATGAATTGAATGTGCAAAGTAAAAAAGACAAGTGTCATCTGCGTAGAGTGATAAGTGACCTGACAGGTTTAAATTTACTATGTTGTTTATGTATGTAAGAAATAGCAAAGGGCCTAATATTGAGCCTTGTGGAATGCCACAGGTAATTTGTTGAGGACCACTTTTGTAGTTAGATATTTGTACAATCTGTTGGCGGTTAGCGAGATAAGAGGCCAACATATCTAGTGCTGTACCTGTTATTCCTATATTATTTAGCTTTTGTAATAGTTTTGAGTGGCTTACCGTATCAAAAGCCTTTTTTAAGTCTATGAATATTCCTAAGCAGACATGTTTTCGATCAATGTTTGTCTTTATTTTTGTAACTACATCAATTGCTGCTGACAGTGTGTTAGATTTTGATCTAAAACCATATTGTTGTTCAATGAAAAAGTTTTTGGCGTTAAAATACTCATTAAGTCTTTTATATATTACTTTTTCAAAGACTTTAGAAATAACAGGGAGCACCGATATGGGTCTGTAATTACTAGGATCAGTTTTTGGTCCGGATTTATGGATTGGGCTGACTTTCGCAATTTTTAGGCTGTCAGGAAATAAACCATTTGATAGGCATTTATTAATGCAATTTGTGAGGTCAGTGGCAATGACATTTTTAATGCATTTAAGGGCCTTTGGACTTATTCCATCAATACCCGTACTTGTATGGTTATTAATATTATTAATAATTTTTAACACTTCTTTGACACTACAAGGTTCTAATTCACTTAAAGTTATATTATGTTGGTAAGTATTTTTATACATTAAGGTATGAACTGAGCTTGTATGGTATTTTGGATGTATATTATTTGCTAATTCTGTACCAATAGTCAAAAAATAGTTATTAAAAGTTTCACAAACCTTGCATCCATCAGATATAATACCGGAGATGGTGGAGAGCTTAGGCACTGCACAACCATTCTTAATTTTGTTTACAGCTAACGTATTGATCAGGTCCCACATCTTTTTAGGTTTATTTTTACATTTAGTGAATTCATTACAGTAATATACTTCTCTAGATTCTCTAATCATTTTACTCACGCTTTTCTTTTCTGAATTGTATCTATTTAATATGTCTTCATTTTCACTATCTTTTTTTAAGCTATTCCAATAAATATTGCGTCTTTCTATACCTTCGATTATGCTTTTGTTAATCCAGTCCTTCTGTGGTAAGTTTAGTATTTTAGTTTTTGTCATTTTATTTTGTTCAATTTGTTCCATTATGTAGTTTTCAAGATAGTTGTAGTCACAGTTCTTATTTATATGCTGGGTTTCTGTGCATCTTTTTATCAGGCCATTATAGTCCAGGGCAGTATAATGGACCCGTTGCAGCGTTTCTGGCTTATATTTACATACTTCCACAAATATTTGTTTGTGGTCAGATAAGGACGATTCAAGGATAGAGAGTGAAAACATATTATTGTTTAAATTTGTACATACGTGGTCTAATATAGTATGGGTTGTAGCTGTCTCACGTGTACAGTATTCCTTCTCCACTTTGTTTAATATTTCGTAACCAGATTCTTCTATCGTTCTCAAGTAGTTAATGATATTGTTATTAGTATTTAAGAGGTCCAAATTAAAATCACCTAAAACTATTGCTCTTTTACGGGTCTCTAGTTGGTTGGAGTATATGTCCAAAAATTTATTTACGTTTGACTCACCGGGTTTATATATCCCACCTATATTAAGTGCAAATTTGTTTATATATATCCATAAATAATGATTTCCACTCTCTGTTAGCTCTTCTGTCAAGTCATATTTAATACTATTGTGAATGTATATAGATACTCCACCCCCCTTGTTTACTTTTCTAAAATTGTAAATATGCGTGTAATTAGTCAAATGATATTGACAAGCATCCTGCTCTGATGTAAGCCAGGTCTCGGTAAAAATAAGTATATGAAGTGACATAGGTACTGCTTGAAGTATACATTGAATTTCCTCGAACTTTCCTGGTTTTTTAATACTTCGTAAATTAGCATAGAAAATTTTTAAAGAATTTGTGCTTGTAACAGGTAGATCTTGGTACTTTTGGAGTAAGTGGTGCGTGATGTAATTGTTGTCCGTAGTAATAGGATATTTTATAACCGAATCTCGAATAGTGCGTTTTAATCGTTTTTTGACTTGACTATTTTAGGTACTCCTTGAATGTATTTAATTATAAGGCCATTTTCACCGTTTTCTTTTCGCCTTTTTAACTCTTCAGAAAGAAGTTTTAAAAAGTGTATCTGAGATGGAGTTTGGTCAGCATATAATCGTATGTTACTAGTCAACTTTGCTTTATTTCGCAGTAATTGTTTAGGTGTGGAAGTCGTGTCAAAAAATATTTTAAGCGGTCGACTTTTTGCCGGGTTGTATTTACCCAGGCGCATTGTTTTTATAGGTTTAGGGCATTGTTCAAATAACGAGGAAATAATTTTAAACGCTTCGTAATCGTCATGTTTACGTCTTGCCAGGTAATTTTTGTCGCAAATTTCATTTATACCCACAAGTACAATATTTTTCTCCCGCTGGCATCGGTCTCTGAGTTCCAGCATAAGGTCTTCTTGAATAGGCGAAAGCGATTTTCGGTTGGTTTTCGGTTCATCCACAGGAGTAATACTTGGTTCAGATTGATTTAATTTATTTTGAAGTAATTGATTTTCTAATTTAATATTTTCAATTTCCTGTTGTAGTGTTTCGTATTTTGAGTTTAATTTTTCAGTAGTTTCTTTGATACTTTTAATTTCGTTCGTTATTTCTGTAACCTCTTGACGAATATGCGACAGAGTTTCATTTTGGGAGACAGAGAACTCTTTAAAAAAATTTGTTATTTCTTCACGAAACTCAGCTAGGTCTTTTTTAAATTCATATTCCATTGGACGCTCTTTTCGTTTTCTAGGACGAATATCTATATATTTTTCATCATCTTCAAAATTCGATAAATTCGACGTGGAATCCCCGCCTCCGCTTCCGCTTGCGAGAATCTCGCTGCGCGATGTTCGTTGTGTAGACATCCTTGTAACCAGTTAGTAGGTGTAGACAGTTAGAAACAATGCAATTATGAACTTAGCTGTAGTGCGAGCGGGTCGAAAAATCGCAGCTATCTTCTTTACCCGAGGAGGTGAAGGGAGCTTCGTGAGATTTATGATTTCATCACAGAGTTAATAAGTCGTGTGTAAAATAAACTTTGGTTTGCCGAATTCACTTCACAGGTTATTAGTTAATAAGTATCACTTTCAGTTGCTTAAGATTAACGTTATTAGTAAAATGTTTTAATACATTTGTTAAATATAATGCACACGTCCGCGCAGTTCGAATACTCAGTTCAACTTTTTTTAATTAATATACTATACTATACAATGTACAGAAACAGACACTATTATAAGTATAGATTTAAAGACAGATGGCGCTGTTAACATCAATTCTATAAATAAGAGATTAATTGACGCTATTGATACAATAAAAAACATAAGAGAAATTATGAATCAGTGCCTATATAGTAAGCAAAAAAGAAAGTTTGATCCTCGCCGAAAAACGAAATTGTTAATAGCTCTTTTGCAATTTGATTTACCACATAGAGTACTCGGCGGTTAAAACTAAATAAAGATTGTCAACACGCAGTAGGGCAGCGTGTAATATAAAGATTAGAAGCAAATATGAAACTCACCTACAGGAAAGAACCTTAACCTGCCTTTTTGTATCACATCTGTGCAACACCACCATCTATCGATGAAATTGGTTAACTATTGAACTTTCGATTTAGATAATAAGGTTAATATATTTTTGTATATATTTATTACGTTCTTTATGTAATACTTTTGTTTACTGCGTTTTAGATATAATTATATCATTATAGAACATTATTTTACATCATTTAATTATGATTTATAATATGATATTAATTTAAAATGTACTTGACGACTCATCCAACGCCATTATTGAGCAAATTCGTACCTATACCTTAGTACCCATACTTCAGCATATTTGTCATAGCTTTTGATGGAATGAACTGATTTTAATGAAATAAAGACTAAATGTTACGCGAAGATACACTTAATAATTTCCTTAACGATAGTTATGTTATAAATTAGTACTTTATAAGTGATACGTTAACAAACAATCAGACTGACAGACAGACCGAGAGAAAATTCTAAAAATGGTAGAAATGTATTTAGTTACTTATTTTTAGTACCTCTTATTCACTGTTATTACAAAAATACAAAATGTACAGACGTCTGCTTTTTACATTTTAATTATATGTATAGATGTTAATATCATTGGGGCAATAGAAACCGAGATAATCGCGAAAACATGTTTTGTTTTTTACCTTTGACCTTGGATAATTTACTACGCAAACACGTACTTTTGAGACAAATTTTAGAACAACAAATTGAATGTATATACAAAAATTCAGCTTATTGTCGCTCACTGTTGCTCGCTAATTTGACTGGCTTATGAACTTTTCTATAAGTGAGGTTAGTTCAATCATTTTAGCTAAAAAAATTGGAAAATTTAATAGAGTATTTTTATCTATTGACATATCTACGTACATCCCACACTAGGGTGAACATCACCACTCCGCGGTACAAAAAGTGTCCCTAATCGTGTTAAAACAGTACACGATACATGAAAAGTGTGTAGTGTATAGGAGAGTGGATAAAATTTAACTTTGCTCTATAACGTACGTATTCCGATTGATAAAATAACTTCATTAATTTTGCCATTTTTCCCTACATGCTATTTAAAATGCTTTAACTAGGTGTAATGTCATGTCACGCAGCTCAGACGCGTGATTTAATTTAGTGTGGCACAAATAGTAATAGCACAACACCACAGACGTAGATAATGATGCGACTTTGTACGTATATGTACCTAGGAATTCAGTAAGGCTACAGAGAGGTTATTAAATAAAAAGTAAAAACGAAATGAATCAGGTGATTGGCAGCAGGATCTTCCTGATATCAACTCAAAATAATAAAATACTGATAACTGCGGTTGTCAAGGCGCCTACAAAGCGTGGCAACTGTGACATATGTGAGACATTCTATGAAATAATCTTATATTCAGCAGGGGACTTTGATAGACTGAATTTATGATGATGATGATGTTGATAGTTGTGATAGTGATTATGATTATAATGACAAGTCCTGATTAGGATAGTCCTTAGATGATAAATTCGCACAGCTATATTATAAATATCATCTATATTGTTCTACTTCTTCATCAGCTCTTAAAAGTCCACTGCTGCACATGGGTATCCCTTGTTGTAGAAAGGATACGCCAAAATCGTTACACTTGGTATACATATTGATGGTCGCAATACCAGACATCCCACAGCTTTGACGATGGCCCCCGCCTCAGACCACATGGTTATCTATAACCAAAAGAACTTCCTGGCATTATTTATTTGTCTCTTACGACATCGTCACGTTGAAAAAGGATGTTGTATTCACTAACGTCGCAAGCAGATGGTAGATCTGGATATCGTTACTATGAAAATGAGCCTTAATACCATAACAAGATACCTTAGTCCTGCTAAGCATTTTACACACATTTTCATTATTTTTGTTCGGATAAGTTTAATAAAAACAACATTTTACTTCTCACGATTCACACATCACATACCATTATCACAACCCTTTACAAGTTCACAGCTGAACATAGTTCTCATCTCATCAATTTATTATTATCTTTATATATAAAAATTACGTGTCACGTTGTTTGTCCGCGATGGACTCCTAAACTACTGAACTGATTTCAATGAAATTTTGCACACTCTGTGCAGTTTGGTCCAATTTGAGAGATAGGATAGTTTTTATCCTGATAAGTGACACTCAATATTTTTTTATTACTTATTAAAGGATTTTTTAATATGAAGGGTCGTCAAAAAGGGCAAAACAACGTCTGCCTGGACAGCTAGTATATATTTAGAATTCAAAGTAGTATTCACAGATATTCACGGTTGACCTTGCATTAAAGTACGTATGCTTGAGCGCTGTGCGCTCACTAGGCCTCACACAAAGAATGCCAACAACACGGTCCGGATTTTTAAGTTGGACTGTAATGAATGTTGATGATAATGATGATATTTAATTTTCGTCACTATCATATTTTATAACTGGAACACTATTTTTCTCACTAACCCCACCCTGTCTCTTCCTCCTTTTATGTATGGTCAGTGATCTATCTAAAGTATGTTGTGTTTTAGTACACAAGCTGGTATCTTTTATATTTTAAGTGCATCCTATCCGTTAATCTTTCGCATATTTTTATTTCATTGTTTCTTTGAGTGGTATGGAAGAGATTGATATGTAACAGTGTGACTGCCTTTTGTTTTTCCTGTCAATATGTGTTTATTTCTTTTTTGTGTTATTTATCTCTCCTTGGAATACATTAAAGAATATTATATTGTAAGCCAAACTTACATCCTAAACATAACGTCTCAACAATATAATAATAAGGTTTAAGTTCCATATAAAATCTCCAAATAATTGTTTCGGGTTTGGATGCTTATCCATGTGAATTTTAAGTATACAAAACGCCTCCACAATACAAGAGAAATATCTTGTGGTTTTCTTTCTTAGGTCCTGAAATTAAATTTTTACTGCAAAATTTTTCTTTCACCATCTTTTCAAAAGGAACCTTTTACATAAAAATGTTTTGAAATTAGTTACATTAAATAACATGCTCTGGAAGCTCTTTTAACTTGTACCTCTTGTAAGAAACCGTGACCTTAAAAATATTATGCAATAAGTTGCGACGAAAAACAGCCGTCCTCGGAAGACTTCAAAAGCTCCTTGTTTAAGAATATTGAATCCAGAACATGAGAAATTTCATAAAGCCTTTAAACTTTCGAAGTTACTCTCTTTGTTATTTAATTAGCCGCGCAAAATGTTAGCCTCCATAAGGAAAACCAAAAGAAAAGAATT